CCAAAGAGGAAACATGCTGAGCAGTGACAGAGCTCGTCTCCAGTAATTCAGCAAACACTAGAAATTGCCGGCTTAACCATTCCCAGTGAAGGAAAATAACTTCTGGTGCTCCAACAAGCTTCCTGTAAGAAGCATAGTGCTGGCGGAACCAGGCAATTGCTTCTACAAGTTTTCCACCATGCAGCAACAACGTCGAAATCTTGAAATGCAATTGGTCTGCAACACTTTTGATCTCAATCAGCCTTTGAATAGGAGGCAATCTGGTTGATGTTGCAACCATCTGTATCATTTATAGATATCTATTTATATGAATTAAAAGATGCAAATAATGCAAAAAGTAAACAGATGCAACAGTTTAAGGCTTAACAATAATTAATCTACTGCAACTCAGGCAAGCTGCTAAGTTTTTTCCTATTAAAGGTACTGTCACTGTCATGAGCAATAGCAAAATCTTGTTCACATACAAGTTGAAACTGGTATTTACAATTCATCCACGCTGTTATGCAACTTTACTTAAGAGACGATACCTGGGCAACTATAATGAAACAAGAGAAAGGAAACACACCTATCTATTACAGTCAGCTATTTACACCACATGGATGAAAGGTCATCTCCTATAACAGAAATTGCAATATACTGCTCTTGGTGGCTTCTTTGGATTTTTATTTGGATAAGATGGTTCCTTTGGATTCTTAACGATAGCCAGACATACAAAGAAAAATAAAGGAACCACAATCAAGAAATAAAGTTGGTTCTAATGAAACATGCAAGCAAAGCTCTAACTACTGATAGCAGCTAGTTACAGGTGGACAAGGATGACTATACATTTAAAACTTCAATCAGATATATATTAACACACAGATGAGAAAGAAACTGAAAAAAGCTTTCAATTAATTTTCACCAAGATGAATCTCTTCAACATTATTAGGTCCCACTCTAATGAACCACATCAATGCAGGCCACGGAATAGAGGGGTTACGGAAGCGCCATCATTTTTTTTATCTTCCATCTATAGCCATTTGTAACTTTGTCTACACTACAGTCATCTTCATAAACAAAGAAAAGAAAAAGCCAAAAGAAGCTAACACTCTGCTCTTTAAAAGTTTTTTATAATTCATGTCTTCGTAATGCAAATGTGCCTTTGAAAGAGGTCTAAAATGCAGTAAGAATCTATAAAAAGATGGTTTGAAATTCTACAGCACAAGCAGATGAACATAAATATACCTCTCGCACTGCATGATAGGCGTCCTCATATAGCCTCAATGCTTCAACCCAATCTCTACAGAATTCTGCATATACAGCAGCCTGTCACAATGTTAAGCAGAGCATAATCATGACAGAAGCAAAATCCATAGGAATAATGAAGACAACACAATAAGGGCACAAAACGTAGCTTCTCAGCATTTAAAAAATAACATGAGAAATGATAATGAAATACTCTATCTTTTTCTTTTTTGAGGAATAAAGAATAATGAAATACTGTATCGTACCAACAAGTTTAGGTAATGCGGAAATCATACTACAAGGACAACACATTAAGCACTACTAAACGTCAAAGAGAACCCTTACTTTGAAACAACATCGAATATTCAGCTCGGCAGAATGAAAGTTTTTCTTTTCAATACGTGCTTTAATTCTTCTTCCTTCATCCTTGTAATAAGAATTAGCCAATTCTGAGAACGTGCTTCCCAACCTGCAATGGGTATCTCAAATTACAAACACCACCAGATTCTATAAATCAAATTTAGATAGAGCATGACGAAAGAATTACATGCCTGATCAAGGATTGTTTAAGCTCTAATTCGCTTGGAACAAAGATGATAAGATACTTAGAGTCCAGTTCTGCACGCTTTCTGAGAGCAATCATACGGTCTTCACTCAGATCATCTGTTTCAAAGAAGTATCACAAGAGGGTTAAATCCCTAAATTAGCGGGGGGAAAAGGAAGAAGAACAGAAGAAAGATGTCTTAGATAAATCCCCCTCCACCAAGAAAGAAATTGCGAGCCAACTTAGGTATAGTTTAATCATTCTACTTGTCTTTACCCAAATTTCAGTGATCTCTCTGACTCAAGCACCAATGGAGAGGAAAAAAGAATTACAACCCATAACATGGAAATTCCCAATTATCAGGACTGAGTGCCACTGAATGTGATGAAGCTCGAGAGGTCAAACCATAAGCAGAGCAAGTGTTAAAGTATTTCCCTGTTACTTCTTAAAACTCTTACATATGAAAACGTATGAGCTGAGAAATTGCGATTATATGGCACGTAGTCCATTAATGCAAGAAAGCCATAAAGCAGATAGACAGAGCAAAGTGTTCAAGACCCACCCTTACAATTTGATGGAGCAACAACCACGACGACCAATTTAACGTTCCTTCCTCGTAATACAGCTCTGTTCATTTAGCACACAGCCTTAAGAAACTCATTTAATGAATCATACATCCATAAACTTGAGAGAAGCAATTGGAAAAAGGACAAAAGAAGCCTACTTGAGGTTTTCGAGATCGGTGCAGACCTGAAGCCACTGAGCTGGATCACCGGAGACGTGATCGGAGCTAAAGAGAGCGGCAACAACTGCCGGAATCCTAGTCCGATGTTTGAGAAGCCAATCTCTCTTTAGGATTCCGGCGATAGGTTGAGGCGGAGCAGAAGCGTCCTTTGAAGGCTTAGCGATAATCGAGATCTTCGAGAAATCGGGCAATGCGAGAGCATTTATAGGCGGCTGTTCAGAGTGAAGGTGAGAAGTGATTGTCGCGTGAAGTTCTGGACAACCTACCAGAGATACTAATGCCACCGGCGGAGTTCGTAGTTCTTCTGGATACTCTTCCATTGGTTTTTGTGATGCTTTGATTTTGATGCCGCGGGAATGCACAGTAGTTGACAATGGTGAAGAACTCCGGAAATTGCTATCGGAGCTGATTTTCTGGTTAGTTGATGAGATCTTGGAAGAAATGGGGAGTTCTCGGACCGAGTTTGGGGGATTTGACTCGCGTTGATTTCAGTTGGGAGTTGGGGACTTGGGAAAGATGATTTAGATGTTGGATTCCTGACTTGGACCGGCCCATGTAAAGATAGGCCAGTCCAATGGGTAGATTTGCACAAATAAGATCATTTAAGGGGTGAAATTCAAAAATAGCCAGATTTATAAGTGGTAATTGAAAAATAGCCACAGTTTTAAAAGTAATTGAAATTTAGCCAATTTTTCATGTAAAGATAAATTTGAACAAAAACACTGTTTAAATCCGATAAATATTCCAGCATAATATAGTGGAGTTCCAGCATAATATGCTGGAAGTTCATACACAAGTGCTTGTATAGGGTAAAATATGATATAACACGTGGCTGGCTAAAAGGAGGACACGTGGAATACGATATGGGATGGTTGAGGACCGAGTGTAGCCATTCTGCTAGTCACCGGAAAGAATAATGTTCATGAAGGTATATTAAATGCTCTGCGCCATGTGGCATTTACTAAGGTATATTAAATCCGATATGGGACGACTAGTCCGTGCTATTTTATGTCATTTAAGGCTGCTGTTTAAATTTGAAGAATTAATCGAAATAACCGCCCACCCAACCGCTATATTGTGTTTGTTTAGAAACTCGTGTGATAATTGTCTCGACGCTACAAATCCAAAATGATGGAACATTCCTAGGTTTTCCCAGCTAGGCATAATATGCACGCGATAATCTTTGTTATATTAATCTTGTTAAATTGTTCGTAGGTCTTGCAAGATTGACAATTTTTGTCTTATTCACAAGTTATGTCGGGCGGGGCATAATTGGTATAAACTGCTTACAAAATCTAATGAGGCAAGATTTTCCTTATTACAAGTTATGTGGGCCGAGCATAACATTGGTATAAATTATTCAAAATTGTGAAATTGGCAAAATTTGAATCTGTTATTTAAAAGTTCACAAGACGGACAAAGTTGTGTACTATCTTTTGTTCTATTTTGTAAAATTATTTATAAGCAGAGGCGGATCTAGTGTGAGAGTTACGGGTTCAATTGAACCCATAACTTTCGACGCGGAGTAGAAATTTATGTGTAAAAATTTATTAAAATTATAAAAATAATAGATTTGAACTCATAACTTTAAATATATAACGAGTTCAATGTTAAAAATCTTAAAAATTGAACCTATAAAATTTAAATCCTGGATCCACCTCTGTTTATAAGTTTTTCAATTGCACGAATACCAATATTTCATACTATTATTTTAATTCTACCTGTTTTTATTGTTCGAAAATTTTGCCGAATTGCCAAGACGTTGAGGATCTATCTGCTGGGATCGTATTTTACGGAATTGGTTTCAGTCATTATTAGTATAGGATTTTGTTCAGAACAAAAAAAGTTGTTCCAACACGAAAGACTTAATTCAAATGAGTCACAATTGCTTTTTAACATATTTTGGCGGCAATATATTATATGTACAAAGCTGCTGCTTTTAGCTTCTTGAACTGGTTTGCTATTGAAGGAGGAAGAAAGGGAGCAAGAAAGGGAGGAAGGGGGAGAAATTTTCGAGTCTAATGACCAATCGTTGAAGACGCTCAGCCTTTGTTACGCTTTCACAATTTTTGCAGACAAAACTTTAGTACAATTTTCATTAAGCGGTAAAAAGTGAATCTTCTTTTTATTAAATATTGATTGCAAGTAGAATAGTTTGAAAGAAATTGAGAAGTTAATTTGAGAGAACCTGTCAAATTAATAACTAATGAAGAATATGCATTCCATCTTGGAAAAGAAAAAGAATACGTATTTCATGTCTCTCCTAACGAACAAAAAATATAAATTTATTATAGGATAACTTCTTCGACAACCTCATGCCAGATTGAATTCGAGCGACCTGTCTCCTACCCTCCTTGCACGAGATAGGGGTAAAAAAGAGACATTTATAAGACAATAAAAATGGTACCAAAAGAAGACATGGTAACCTCACGTCCTTTTTACACGAAACATTTTCAGCTGGGGAACATGTTCTTCAGGATCCCAACGTCGAGTGAAAAATTCTTTTATGTATCTTCCACCATATTCAACGGTATGTGCTGTCCCATGTACATGTAACTATACCCTACATTCATGTAATACTAACCATAGGGGAGAAATAGAGGTTTCTAGCTCCCAGAGCAACAAGTCTAGAAAAGTGAAGATTTAGAGGTGAATTTGCATCCATTGGTTTGGGACTTTTGGTATATCTCAGAGAAACCCGACCAAGAAACCAAAAGGCACTATTACTAAAGTTCACAAATTTCCCAGACAGATGTACTATCTGATCACGGTTCAAAACCAGAAAAGCTTCCAAAATTGCTACATACATGTTACACCCCGATTGATCCAATATCATCACTTGGCGTGCACGCGATGTCGCACCAAAGACCTTCTGCAACATCCATCCTTTTGACCTCCCTTCATTTCCCTTTTTCCAGAGGGGAAAGGATTGAGGTGACAGACAATGTTCTAAAGGAACCACAAACACACTGGAACGAAATGAGAAATATAAAAATGACAAAAGGAAAAAGGCCCTAAAAATTGCAGTTTATAGACGGAAACCAAAACCTAGACATCTATCCCCTAGCCCTAAGGAAATCGAAACACCAAAAAGAAGAATAAATGCAAGACACGCACGACAAATAAAAGTGTACACCTACAGACCAGGATGACCCAGGTATATATAAAGAATCATATATTGATTCTCCTAAACATGATTGCGGAAACCATCTTCCCACAATCAATTCAATTAATATAATCAATCGGTGACTTGAAGTCCTGGCAGGATTGTCCATACAAACTGCGAAAAGAGCAGTCCAAAGGTACTTGCTCGTTTCTCACATATTGGTTATCTAAACTGCTTGGTATCTTACAAGTGGTTCCCTCGCTTTCTTGGTGGCCATGACTTTGGAAGACCTGAAACAGGAATGCTAATAAACTTTAGCAAATACACAGGATTTATGCAACAACTTAAAAGAACCAGAATTTCAAGGTAAACATGTATGGAAGAGGAAAAAATAAATACTCTATATTCATCCAACTATAACCGCCGCAAAACAGTAAAAGAAGAAAAAGAATTTGGCATTAAACCACGCGTGCAACGTATATAATTTAGAATCTAAGCAAGTCATTTGAGAGAGACTACAAATGAGAATGTATTCAAGGAAGAATCAGTACCTCTTTTTGCCTCCCCGCTAACTTTCAAGGTCATATTCCAAGTCAACCACGCAAGTAACAACGAGCCAACTCCTTGAATTCATCCTGCAATCGAACCAACATCAGACAAATCCAAATAAGCATGTGTACTATCTTTAGAGTAGATCCCATCAAAGCCAGATATCGGAAAAAGGAGTTTCATGATTTCCTTACCATGATACATCCAGTTCCTCCAACCATTCAACCTGCCATTTGGTCAGAGCCACTACGCTGAGTGAATTGCGATGGGTGAGCTTGTACTACAATCTGCGACTGACGAGGGGACGACATGGTGATGCCTGAAGAAACGGGGTAATCAAGCAGCTTCACTACAAAAAGATAACAACTTGACTTCTTACTTACTGATTCACACCACATAGATATTTATCAAATGTTGTACAGAGGGAAAGGAGGGAAAAAGATAAGGCAGAGTACGGACACTTGTTAAGGAAGATAAAGCAGCAAAATCAGTTGCTCATTTTCTTGAGATGTAAAATCCTGGACGACTCACGAAAACTTGTAAGCAATAATCTTTATTAGCAATCAGATCTAACCCAGCAGGTCCCACTCCAGCATTCCCTAAAGCTTGAACTATCCTCACTCCAAAATACTTAGGTTTAAAAAAATAAAAGAGAAAGAGAGATATTTTTTGGTTATCTATCTCAATTCTCATCCTGAGTTGTATCCATAATATATGGTTGAGAGTCAAATAGACACTAGTTAATTTTATGTATGCCTCGGTATATCTGTCAGTAATATTATGCTTTCCATCCTTCATCCTATCTTAATCCCTTATATTTACCTGTTAACAACACTGAATTAACAAATCATCTGATACGCTATGTATTGTCCCAACTTAATTTAAAGTTTGATATTTGGGACTGAAAACTTATTCCTTTGCATCAAATATTTTTTAAACATTGTCGCTCATATTGAAAAACTCTAGTGAACTAGTGAAGTAATTCCTGCCAAAGTAACTCCTATATTAGACACTCCTTTTTGGTTGCACATAGAACACGGAAAGTAATTCCTACCAAAGCAGTACCTGAATTATATGGTAGTTGCATCACAGGAACATTTTTTGTCCTAGCTCCGTTAGTATTAGGTCTCTGATATTGCAGAATCTGAGGACCTGGCATCATATGACTACGGAATACATATGCAGGACTGCCAGGTTGCATACCAAGTTGGCCAAATTACAATGAGTTTGTTCCAACAGTACCTGGTACTCCATACATCTGAATGAAATGCAAAAGTAAAACCTATAAAGCCCTGGATAGAGAGTCTTCCTCAAATTTAGCCTTAACATTCCTCGTAAGAGGGAAACGACTAGAAAGAGAAATGGATGCTATTTAAACATCCGACTTTGTAAAGTAGACTTACTTGTGGATAGACGTAGTCTGGCCCATATGCAGGAAACCTACCAATATATCATTCAAGAAGAAAAATATTAGGTATAGTGAATGAAAACACTAGCGCATTTCAGAGAGTATTAACGTATTCATGAGCATGACTACAACACATTTGGTACTAGAAATTCTAATCAAAACAAAAGACCCGTAGGCAAACATCAATATACAAATATATAGATGTTCCTACACCAGACTGAAATATATTAACAGAAGATAGTGTCACAGTAAAAGCATGTCTTTCTTGCTTCACAATATTTTTTTTTGGTTTTGGGAAAATACTTGTTAAAGAGAAAAATTCAACCACTCACCTTTTTTCATAAAATTAAATTTGCAGAACATGAAGTTAAGATAACAGAAAAGAGATACTTGTGAAATTACAATACTAATTCATCAATTCGGGCAAAAAGTCTGATATGAGTTATACGTCATCATATGTGCAAGAGAACTAATTTTGTANATATATATTGCGTACTAAGTTTGCTATATCAGCTTTTGATTTAGCCATGGTCTACTATCATCTAATAAGCAACACACCAAACTTCAAGTCTCAGATACGAATATATCAATTCAAGGATAATGAGGTGTCTCCCATGACTGAGCACCTGGGATAATCGAAAAACGTAAATCAGATGATTCTCTCCCTCTTTTTTTTCACCCAAAAAATAAATACTGGTTCGGGCGAATCCCAATCAATATTATATCAGAATGATGTTCTCCTGACGCCAAGAAACATCCATACCGTGTGAGAGAACTAAATTTAGAAATTTGCACGGAAAGCAACAGTGTTAGATCCCCTGCTCGGGTAGTCGGCACTGACCTATATTGAGGATATGAGAATCCAGGCTGATAGCTGTAAGGAGCTGGTAGCTGGTAAATGGGGTTCCCCGTATACATCCCGGTCATGACCTGTGGATTTCCCAGATAGGGCATTGATGATCTCAAACGTCCTATAAGATAATCAAAATTAAAGGGAGGATTAAGACAAGTGTAAATGTCAAATTGCCATGGTGCACCAAAATGCTAACCGAATCACATTATATTTTAGTTTAATATTAGCAGTACCATTGTCGTTTATCTTTATTTGGTTTATTATTAGCACAATTACTTTAGCATCCTATCTCTTGAAAGGTAGACCAGCTATGCTACACCAAAAGAAAAGGATATCTCTTAAAAGAAGGTTTATACAAGCTCTCAAAACTTAAAGATATGTTACTGCTTGCTCCACCGTCTATCTCTCCGTAAAATTAGATCTATGCACCTTCTCTTAATGCCTCTATTTAGTAATGTGGGAGAAGAAAGAAAAAGATAGCATCAGAAATAGATCAATTGACATATTTTTCCCAACCATTCCCACTTGAATCATGAATGACTAGGCTTAAAGTGCAAAAAAAAGAGGGAGGAAAAAGAAACGATAGCAGCTAGCGAAATGATGCATTATCAAAATGAGAATATAATACCATAAGGTAAAAGTCCTTGAGGCCGTCCAAGTGAAGCCAAATTACAATTTGCTCTTCTGCCATCAATAATCGGATTAGGATTGGCACAAGCCCTTCAAGCTGCTTCAGGATCATGGAATGTCACCTAATTTTAATATTAATTAAACAAATCAACATTTAGCAAATGAGAAATGGTGATCAGAAAAATTGGGTCATTGAAACATTATCAAGCATGTATGTTGTCACCATAAAAGTTGAAAAGAGGACACAGAAGTTATGATCAGATATTAATCCACCTACAAGGCCATGAATGCTATTAAGAAAAGAAAATGTATTTTTGGACTGCAATTATCAGATAATTTATTTCTCTTCAACACATACATTATTCTTAATTTTATAGTATTACTTTTACGTTCAACTCAATTTCACACTAAAAAGGGGGCCAAGTATGACATGCTATGCATGATTTCTTACATGTAGCTAGAGACAGTCATTGTCAGATCATAACATGCACATATCTCATAATCATACATCAGATCGAACTAATGCCAATTTGAGCAAAGCTTTTTCAAAACTATATGACTAATTAAGGTCCAAGTAAATTGCAGTAATAAGAAAGTATCTCTCTCTGTATACAGGAACCTAGCAAGTTAACATGGCCAGCTCATCCACGACAGTCGTACAAGAAAACATCCCTACCAGACAGCTGTCTTTGTCTTAAAATTATTCATTAACGTATCAACTTTGACATGTATCCAATAAATGAAGCAAAGATCAAATCTTTCAATAATAGTAATAGTAAAAGTTAAAAGTGATCTGAGAAAAGAGAATTACAAGACTAAAAAGAACCAGAAGAACTGGAAAAAAAAGGAAGAAAAGACTCACAAAGCCATAGCCTTTAGAGCGGGCAGTATGTTTATCAGTGATGACAACAGCTTCAATAATATCACCAAACTGCTCAAAGTAACGGTGCAGTGATTCACTCTTAGTTTCCCAAGCCAACCCACCAACAAAAACCTTCGTATAAGTTGTGTCTCCTCCAATCCCATACGGGCCCTGACCCACAAACGGCGAATTACCCGAACCACCACTACTACCACCTGGACTCATCTGATAATCCATGAAAACAAAGCTCCAAATACAAAGAATCAAAATTGATACTAGTAAAAAAGATGAAATCTTTTTCTTTTTTATAGCAAAACAAGGGAGTGATCAAGAAAGAAACTTGAATTGTAAGAAAAGAAAGAAGAGTGAGGTGGCAGTGTGGGGAGGAGAGAGAGGAGAAAACCCCTGGGTAAAAACTAAAAAAAATACTGCTGGATTATGGCAAATTTAGTGCAAAGAGGAGAGAAGAGAAAGAGAAAGAGAGAGAGGAATGAATACGTGTGGGTCCAAAAGTCTACGCGTTTTTGTAAAAACAACCAGCTAAATGTGCCCTTTCAATCAAAGACTTTTAGAGAGAGAGAGAGAGAGAGAGAGAGAGAGAGAGAGAAGATGCTAAGAGCAAAGCAAATGGATGAGGGAGGAGGAGGCTTTTTTAGCCGTGTCTGTGGAATCTTCCCGACATTTTCATTTCATTTTATATTTTTCAAGGATACGTCATAGTTGTTCCTATCCTTTGTGTAATTGGGACTATATATGTTTTTCTTCTTCTGTAGAATTTTCTTCCTTTGAATGCTTTGTCACATACTAGGGGTGTTTGTCGGTCGGTACGGTATGATATTTAGACATTTCGCTTCAGTATTTTCGATATTCAGTATCCTAAAATGCTATACCAATACCATACTTAATTAAATTCGGTATGGTTCGATTTTTCGTCTTTCGGTTTCGGTTTATTCGGTACGGTAACTTCGATTTATTCGGTTCTAAAGCAGCTTCTGAACGTTATATTTAGGGGAGAATAACACCTTAACTAGCCGGCAAAATTAAAATTATAACTAGCCAGCAAAATCAATCTTATGAATGCAACAACACTACACATCATATATGAGACTTCTATAAACATGAGCATAAGATTAGAATAACGTTTACAAACTTCATCAACATGTAAATATGTCTAGTCTAAAGCTCTAACTTGCATCTCCAAAATATACCAGACACCAATAAGCTTTTCAAATGTGACCAAAATAAGTGTTGTTTACATAAATTATTCGGGTAACATCCATTAACCACATAGACAAAAATAGGTAGCGCACATGCTTTAACAAAAGAATATGGAACTAGAAACATTCTCGTGAAGCTCTCTGGTAACTGGGGGCTGCAAGGATGAAATGATATTTAAAATTAATCCAATATATATTTTGGTACGGTATCGGTATTTCAGTATTTTAAAAAAAATACCAAATACCATACCTAATACCAAATATTTTTAAAATGTAAACCAAATATCATACCAAGTACCAAAACACCAAATACCAAAAATTTCGATTTCGGTATGATAATTCGGTATTTACCAAATTATGCACATTCCTATCACATACTATTAATTTGGGAAACTATAGTGTATTTACTTCCCACATTTATTTGATTTTCATCTTCTAACTGGACGTTTAATACTATATTTTATAAATTTATACTCCCTCCGCTCCACTTTAAGTAATTTTTTAGTTTTTTTTTGTCCACATTATTTAATTTGTTTAGATATAAAGAAAGAATTAATTTCTTCTTTTCAAAGTTGCCCTTGGAGTAAAGAGTCTAGGAGTATTTTGTTATACTTCAAAAGAGCAAATTAAGGTTAATATGGTCAATTTTATTGTTAATTAATGCTAAAAAGTAAATTCCTTAATATAAGTGTGAAAAGAGTAAAAAAAAAAACTCACTTAAAGTAGACCGAAAGAGTTATTATTTTTACTCATAGTATAACACATTTTAATATTATAAAACGTCATGGAATCAGATGACCAACTTATCCATACTTTACAGGAATTACTTGTGATTATTATTGTCAATTAATTAATTATGCAGAAGAATTTTATATTGCTTCTATATAAAAAGTTAAACCTATAACTTATTGGTTAGATTAGTTAGTAAGTTACAGAGATGCACACACATATAAATTCTTTCATTTGTATAACAAAATACCCAAATACAACAACAACAAACCCTAGTTTCTTGATGGGGTTTGGTCATACCTCTATCGTGTTATGTTGGATACTAAACTGTGTTCCTCATAAAGTAAGAAAATGCTTCCATTTTGATTCTAAAGTCAATATTAATAATGTCATCTTCCCCTAGTCTCTTCTGTGATCGCTCTTATTTCTCTGGATTTCTTTTTTCTTGTTTTCGAGTTTGTTCTCTCTCTTCTTAATTGCTCTTGCCTTCTATTTTCTACGAATTCTTTGAGGAACTAACCTTTTATTCCGGTTAAGAATGGTATAGTCCCTCTAAGAAGTGGCAAAGCCAAATCTTTTGCTAAGGGGTTCAAAAAATTTTTAAAAAAACATGTAGAGAAGTAGTTAAAACTTAAAAGAGATTTAACATATCATATTTATACATAAAAATAGACTTTTACCTTATATAATACAATGTAATTTTGGACGAACTATTTCCGCCCCTCGCTCCACCACAACCTCAAGCTGATCTCTCGAGTAAATTTCATGTAGTTGTACACATATGAGGTAAAAAATTTACGAAATACGCTGACGTATCCATTCGTCCGTTATGCATGAGTTATCGATAAGCATTGATGAAATTACCAATGTTGTAAAAATTACAATAGAATCCTACTTTGACAATAGTTGCTACTTGCTTATTTCGACATACTATAATATTCTCTCGTCAACGAACGGTGTTTTATTAAAGGTTATGATTAAATCGAAAAGCCAAACATGGCGCTGCCACCACTATCACATTGTTTGAATTCTTGTTTTAATCCGGCAGGTTTGAGGCTGGTTTAGTTGACCACAACTGAAGGTCGAACCCGATTGGACAATATTCAGGGCGGCCTTCCATAAAGCAAGTAAAGCAACTGCTTTAGGCCTCATATTTATGGGGTCCCCATTTTCTGTTACACCTAATAGACTATGTATAAGTTTAAAAAAAGGTTCTGTGAAGTAAAAAAAATTGATTTCCTTCATTAACAAGTATGAAGAAAAAGGATTTGCAACTGCTATGATTTCTGCCAAGAAAATTGCACTTGAAATAAATATCGAACCCGAATTTCGTAAGAAACGTATGATATATAGAAAGTAACAATTTGATGAGAATGTTGATAATAAAATCTCAAAATCTTTCGAAGAGTCATTTGGTGATTGCTTTATACATAGTAGACAAGGCTATTTTTTTCACTTCAAAATAGATTTGAACAATTCGAAGCATATGAAAATATTTTTGATTTTCTATTTAGCGGTAAAAATTAATATCACTAGATTATGAAAATTTGAAAAAATATTGCCTTAATGTTGAATGTTCCTTAAAGCATAATAATCAATTCGATATTGATGGTTTAGATTTATTTTCGGAATTAAAAATATTAAGAAAAATTATATAATTAGAATATAACAGTTTAATTGATAAACTCGATCAAACAAAAAAAATTGATTCTTTTTCCAATGCTATATTACTTATGAAATAATGTTAATAACTATTATTTCCGTCGTTTCAGCGGAAAGAAATTTTCAAAATTAAAATTGATAAAATCTCACCTAAGATCAACAATGTCTCAATAAAGGTTAAATGGATAGCTATATTGTCAATTAAAAAAGATTTATTAGGAGTTATTGGTTATTAGAATATTATTAATAATTTTGTATCTAAGAATGCTAGAAAAATAGCTTTTAAATAAATAAATAATTTAAAAAAAGAAGAAGTTAAGACCCCTTATAAAATTAGACTTTAGGCTACAAAGCTCGTTGGACCGTCCGAGTCGCTATTTAGTAGTTGAAGTAAGAAAATGTAATTAGAATCAATGCTAAAACAAGTATTTGAAAGTTAAACATAGCTCGTTTACAAATGCAAAGTTACTCTTTTTTCTGATTTTTGCACATGTTTGTTTAACTTCAATTATTTTTAAAAAAAATAATGAAATAAAAAGTTTTTCAGTCCAGCAAAAACAGCTGTAGGCTACTTTTTGGACATCACAAGCTTAAAACCAACAACTATCTATATACAACTTTTATTATTACTAAAAATTTTGTTCTAAGAAACATTCTTGATGCCACGTTGACGAAAAAAGAAGAAGGTAGATACGCAATTTCACACACGGAAGAAGAAAGTGGAGAAAGTTGCCGGTTTGGCAGAAAACGACGGCTTTACGGCAATTGCCGACAAATCAAAACTGCCGCCTTTACTACGAATTTTTCCTCTCGCCTTATGTAAGTTTCGCCGTTTCTTTTTTGTAAAATACATTTGTTTTCTTTGACAATTGACAATTACTACCAAATATTTAAAAAAAAATATAGGTCATCCTCTTTCTTTGTTGTCAATTTCTTCTTCATTTCCTGAAACTATGAGAAAACCCATCGCTGATAACAATTCTTAGCTCTTAAGCTACTTCGAGCTTTCTAAAGTTGCAATATTATCTTCTTTATCATTTTCTTATTGAATTTAAGTTTTGATATTGCGGTTATAAAATAAATAAAATAAAATATATAAATTCGTCATTCCTTAGACCTCAACTAATAGGTTAAATTGTCGCACATACTCATACGATATATGATCAAATAGAAGCTTTTGAATTCATGTCTTATCTGCCACCACTAATTGTTAAAAAGATATACACGTGCTTTGCCGAAGAACATTTGCATATCTCAATATTTGTACTAAATTTGAGTTATGTATAGATTTTTGAAAGAGGTTACCTAACATGTTAATGCAAATAATTTATGCATCAATAGTAGATAAAATTCAGATTATTTTTCTTTTACTATATTATTGTTTTAAATAGCTATAGATAGAGGAAGTAGAAATCGTGTGTCAAAAATACCGACAAACTTATCCTGAAAACAGACAGCCATACAAGGGACGAGGAAGGTTCACTATCAAATCTCAAACTGTTTTTTGTTGAACCTTTTAAAGTTGTACTTAGACCTGCATTTCCTATGCCACCACTAAAAGAGCATTAGGTTAATAAATGTACAATTGGTCAGCACTTTCATAACCTGCTTTGCACTGTCTCATTTCATTTGTGGAAGTTTAATATAGCTATATTTGAGTTATTGGACAGACTATAAATTTTAAATATTAGAAACTTCACAAGGTTATATAAGTTGCAAAATCTTTGAGTAAGAAGGTTTTCAATTTGACAATCAAACATTCATACTCCTTCTGCCATGTTCACACTATTCATTAGTGAATTATATTTGGAGAGAGAAACATTTGTATCTAATTTCTAAAAAAAATACTTTAAAACTCTAAAAATTTATAGCTTATACAATACTTAATATGTAGTTTCTAAGTATTTAAAGTCTATCTCAAAAAAAAAGTTAAATAAGGATTTCTAAATCTATGATCATTGCACTTGGAGCCTCACTATTCTTTTAAGGCAGTTAAGGTAATATGCTAGTAG